TTTTTTGAAAAACAACATGTTATTCTGTTAATCCTCCAAGCAGATTCAGATAATAAAATTATAAGTTAATCACTAGTAGCCTATAAGTAAATAGGCAAAAATTTACAAACTAAGAAAAAAACACACAAACAAACAAACAAACAAAGAATAATGCAAACAGCTTCATAAGAACTTTCTATTCAAAATCTTGTTAAAACTGAATATTCACAAATATTTTATCATGAGTGAGATGGACTCGGGTCAATATTTGGTGCAAGAGGACGTAATTAACAGGCTGAGACTGGCATACAGTAATGTAGCCCAAACAAGACTCGGACCCAAACTACTAATCTATCTTTGGCCAACTACACAGATGAGACAAGCCTGCATCTTCATGCTCGGTGCCTTTTGGAACATTATACATCGTCCATCTCTGTACCCGGATCAGATGCTGATGAATAGTGCCAGTGTGAAACAGCACTCTGAGCCAAAAGCAAAAAGATAATTGGGCTTTTTCAGTGAGCCAAACGCTGCAAACACACACTGTGTGTTTGTGTGAATAGGAGTGACAGTTGAAAGGCTGTGCAATAGAGAAGTTTGGTGCCAGGCATGAAAGAAAAGTGCCGATTCTAATACGGGTGAAGCATTATCTTAATTTCTATCAGGAACAGCGTGTAGAAATGACTCCTCATGGTTACTGCACAGCAATGCCACTGCGCTTCAGATGATAAACAAACTGTGTGTTTGTCTGCGATGAACCGGGAAACTCTTCATGCAAACATGCCGTCGTCACCTTTTGTAGCTTAAATACAAAAATAAGCATTTTCTATTGTAGAAAATATAAGAGAATGATTTAATGCAGCCTCCTGTGATGCTACTGATTTAGTCAAGTTCCAAAGTCATAAAAATGAATTATTTAATTAATTAATTATTTTGGCTAAAATAAAACGGATGCATTTGGGGGGAAAAATAAATGAAATGTTTTGATTTGAATTTTTTTTTTTTTTGGATAGAGGGATGACAACCCAATTCACAATGTATAACCGTTCAAAAGTTTGGGATTGGTAAGATTTTAAATGTTTTAAAGTAAATGTTTTTTTAGAAATCATTCTAATATGCTGATTTGCTGCTCAAGAAACATTTCTGATTATCATCAATGTTTTTTAAATGTTTTTTTTTTTTTTTTTAAACCTGTGATATTTTTTCTGAATTCTTTGATGAATAAAACGTTTAGAAAAACAGCATTTATTTAAAACAGAAATTTAAAAAAAAGAAACTACTGTTCAAAAGCATGGATTTGCTACATTTTTTTGTTTTAAAAGTGATAGTAAAGACTTCTATTTTGAATAAATGCTGTTCTTTTGATCTTTTTGTTCATCAAAGAATCCCAAAAAAAATTACAATACAATTAATTAAAAATAATAATAATAATTGGCGAAAAATAAATAATTAGAAAAAAATGGCACAAAGAAAAAAAAAAGAAAACATGTATGAACAAAAAAAGAAAAATGTGAATAGGAAAAAAAAAATAATATTTCTTAGTGTCCATTTTAAATCCTAACAAAAATTTTGTTTAATGTTACTACAACAAAAATAAAGAGCAAATATGCTTTAGGTGAATAATTGATGCTTTATCTATGGGAAACAGAAAATGCTTACTAAAATGTACAATCGACATTCACAAATAAAATGTAATTCTGAGCAATGCCACTATTTTTTTTCCACTATTAATCTTAAATCAATGCATAAAGTCTGTCCTTAAAGTAAACCACTGGTGATTACGACATTTATTGCAGCATTTAAGTGCACTCATCTCATAAATAAGATCATTCTGACAGCTTAAATTAAGCAACTACTCAATTAATAAACCCTTCTGATTAAGGTCACCTTATAATAATTTCCCCTGTTTATGCACTAATGCTTCTTGCGTTAAAAATCTTCTGCAACCTCTTGACCAGAACAAACGTGATGTTAATCAGATCACCGTATGAGCGGCAATTAGTGTCAAATTCAGCCCTGAGCACCTTTAACGACTTCTGCACGAACACAAGCTTGTGAAACGCTTTATCAACGCTTGAGCCCGAGGGTCACAGCCCAATAAAGCTCTTCAAATACAAAGAAACATAGAAAGCTAATTGGCAGGATCTGACCTCGGTCACGTCTCAAGAAAGACCCCGATGATTTCTCTGCGAGCATAATCTAAAAATGACTTCCCCCTCCCCGCTAGATAACCGCAGAATTTAGTAGGTCCCCTCCCTGCCTTATCCACGCTTTCCTCAGAAGTCTGCCATCTCTTCTCTTAGAAAGACAGAAATAATAATGGCTGGAAAGGCACAGTGACCTTGGAACATTAAGCAACTTGAGATATTTAGTGGAGATCAGCTGCACAAGCTTGTGCACAACGGACCATAAGGGACTTAAGATTTTGAGAATAAAGTCAATTATGAGAGTAAAGTCGTAGCAAAATGAGATTAAAGTCAAAACATTGTGAGAACAAAGTCGTAGCAATACCAGATCATATTTTTAGAATAAAGTCAAAATTCTGTGAATGAAGTCATAGCAATATGAGATTAAAGTCGTAATATTTTGAGAATAAAGTCAAAATGATGAGAATAAAGTCATAATATTTTTGGAATAAAGTAAAAATTTTTAGAATACAGTCATAGCAATACGAGATTAAAGTTGTAATATTTTTAGAATAAAGTCAAAATTATGGGAATAAAGTTGTAGCATCATAAGTTTAAAAAAAAACATCAAAATGTTGAGAATAAAGCTGTAGCAATATGAGATTAAAGTAATAATATTTTGGGAATAAAGTCAAAATTATGAGAATGAACTCATAGCAATAATAGATTAAAGTCGTATTATAAAGCTGTAGCAATATGAGATTAAAGTAATAATATTTTGGGAATAAAGTCAAAATTATGAGAATGAACTCATAGCAATAATAGATTAAAGTCGTATTATTTTAAGAGAGATAGTCAAAATGATGAGATTAAAGTTGTAGCAAAATGAGATTAATGTCAAAACACTGAGAGAATAAAGTATATTGTGTGAATAAAGTTAATTATTGCAAAAATCCCCTATTCCGCAAAAAAAAAAAAAAATCTGTGGCATCCAACCCTCCATTCTTCTAATGTATTTAACATTAAAAACAGTCATAAAAACTTTCTAAAGGTTAAAGTAGAATATTATATGATAAATATACACACTGTATATTATAACTTTAATCTTTTGATTGCTATGACTTAATTCTTGTAATTTTGACTTTATTCTCAAAAGATTTTGACTTTGCTACACCCAAGCTACAAAATTGTAAGCATTATTTATGTCTTCAGTGTAATTTTGCAGTTGTTCAGTTGGTGACCTTTACAAGTCTGTTTACTTAAGTGACAATGTTAATTTTAATGGGTGTTTTAGAGTTTTGGATCGATCTGTTTCAAGAGCTTAATAATCTGACATAATTTTGACTTGATATAATTGACTGTATGCAATAATGCATAATTACTGTAAATGTACAAATAATCATGTCACACTCCGTGAATTATTATGAAAGCAATTAGAATCTCAAGTACTGTATAGTGCTTATTATTATTATTACTTAGTCACATGACACGTCAGCTGGCCATTGTAAGTGTTTGTGGTCATACCTGGTGTAAACGCTCGGTGAAACTGGTGTAGATCTTCTCCTCTCAGTTCTTCTGCTATCTGGCCGATCTTCTGCCTCACACCATCCAGTTTCACATCGGCCTCAGACAGGATCTCCTCAACATCTGGAACACTGGAGAAAAAAACACTTGTGCTTATTTACATTCATTTAGCAGATGCCTTAATCCCTGGTCTTTCCCCCCCAGTACATTAAAGCCGGAACAACTCTATCTATTTATCTATCTTGCATTTGGGGGAAAAAAGTTACATTTACACTGAAAAAAAAAAAAAGAATAAGTGTAGGATTTACTTTGAAACAATTTTCACTCAAAAACGGCTAGTAAATTGCACAAAACATTGATTTAAAGGTCCCCTGAAGTGCCTTGAAACACGCAGCGTTATTCTATGTGGTGACAATTTCAACTGAAACAGGAAGACAGGGCGGGACATATCAAGCAGCTCCGCCCCCTTTTTAAATTAGCCAATAGCGTTTTGTTTATATCTGCACGGGTCAGAGCCGCTGAGCTCGGTTAAAGCCACAGCCGAATAGATTACTCCCTAGATTCAATATGAAACTCTTAGTAAAACAAAATAGTGATCATAATCATGCTGAGGCTGTGTAGTTTTAAAAGTGTTTAATATATGCCGACTCACGCATATGATTCGCTCCGTGCGATCGCGAAAATACTACACTGTGAACAAAGCGACCGATCTCAGCCGCAGCTTCAGCTCTATATATAGTGTAGGGGGCGGGCGCTTCGGCTTCTAGAGAGCGTTTGATTGGTCAGAAGATTTTATTGATACTAACACCCAAAAAACTTTAATTTTGATTTCATGGGGACTTTAAATGTGAAATTTTTAAGCAGAAAGGCAGAAATAGTATTTTCTTGTAAAGGGTACTCCACTAATTTTTATTTAAAACATTTTTTTAGTTTATACACACACACAAAAAAACAAACAAAAAAAGATTTTAGGGCAATTTTTTTTTTTCGTATTCACCCAAATATTTGAACATTAAAAAATAATACAATGATATAAAGAATAAATTTAATAATAATAATATTATTTTTATATTCTATAAAATAATAATAAAAAGTGTATTTTAATCATTTAAATGTCATGAAACTCCTCCATCATTAGTTTGAATTTGAATTTATTTTATTAAAATATATATATGTTTTTCTTTTAATTGAGGGCAAAATATTTTTCTTAATCACTTAAATAATTAAAAACAAACAAAATTACTGTTAAAAAAAAACGAATAAATAATTAGCAAGAAGGAGAATATTGTTGGAATGGAAATGAAAAAATCCACCAAAAACTTCAATGTGGATTTGTGATTTGATATTATATTTAACACTAGAAAGAATAAAATATGTCAAAAAAGGATCCATTCAAAAATTGTACAAAATTTGGAAACCTATGATTACATATTTTGAAAAGATGAAGACCCTACCTTCTAACTAATTAATAGGACTAAAGTTTTAGAAAGGCCATCTGACTTTAAAATACTTGGTTATGTCATGCTTGCTTATATATCTACACAGAAAGACCATTTGAGTGATCCCCCCTTCTTTTTTTATTTTTATTTTTTATTCTTTTAACTAATTAATAGGACTAACGTTTTAGAAAGGCCATCTGACTTTAAAATACTTGGTTATGTCATGCTTGCTTATATATCTACACGGAAAGACCATTTGAATGATTTTGAATGATTTTTATTTTTTTTTGTGAACACTTGTTTACTTTTGTTAACAAAATTGACTTTGATATATCTGCTGATAACAAAGTATTGAAATGTATGTTGCTATTTTGTATAGTAAGTACTAGTGTTGGGCGGTATACCGGTTCATACCGCATACCGGTATTTTTGTTATGATATGAATTTTTAAAATACCGCAATACTGGTGTATGTCGCTTAAACAACGTTGGGAACGCGACACTGTTTGGAAGAGGTCCCTTTTCACTGTCGCACTGTGGTGAGGGAACAGCTGCATGTGTTACTAAGCGTGAAAGTTCAGAAACTGAAGCTGTAGAACTAATAGAACGTGATGACACAGAAGAACTCATCCACAATATCCACACTGACCGCCACAAATATCCACCGCCCCCTGCCATCAGCTCCCGCGTCTCACACACACACGAGCACGACTTTAGCATTAGATTTAGCAACTTTCAGACCCTTTTAGCGGCTTTTTTCCATAGAATATTCATACTGACAAACCTAGCGACTTTTTTTGTATAAACCTTAGCTATGGTTCAGTTGGAAGATTTCTCCAGTGCTGTCCCGCGAACGTGAGGTCTGACTTTCCCGGAGAAGTGTCACCTCTCTCGGCGTCTGTTCTGTGCAGTGAGTGGCAGAGAAGCAGCGCATTCAGTTGGCCGCACTGCAGCCGACTCGTCAATAAATGAGTACAAAACAGCGTTTCCTAGCACCTGTCGCTTACGTCGCTTACTGAATTATAAATATGAGCGTAGTTCGTCTGTTAATATCACATGCACTTTTTTGTTTGTTGTGTTTGTTGTTTTGTTACTCAGACGCAGGCAGTGCGCTGCATGAGACAAAAAAGTAATATAGCCAAAACAACCGCATAGCCGCTCTTTAGTGTAGATGCATGTTGATTTTATCAGACGATGCCGCGATTATAAACGAGAGTGACTCCTGGTTAACATGTATTAAAAGGGGTTGTGTTTAGTCACTATTTAGTGTGGTATTTTTTGACAATATTCACTCATCATGACAGTAAAATAGGGCAAGTCAATATACTGCAGTATTTCCTCTCACAATCAGTAGAAAATATGGTTAACACCCGGTCATGCATGAAAAAAAAAATACCGTCATGTACCGTGAAACCGGTATAATTTTGAAAAATACCGTGATATAAATATTTGGTCATACTGCCCAGCACTAATATAAATTATAAATGAACTTTAACCAAGAAATATTTTCATTTAATAATATAGTAGTCTGATATTGCAATATATATCCCCTATATTATAATATATATCATTAGTATTTATATATATATATATATATATATTTACTTTACATGACTTTTTACCACACGTCTACCGATAATATCTTAATAAGCTAATAATTCTGATGATGTTATAATAATTCTGATGAGGTTGTAATGATTCAGAAGATGTGTCTCAATGCATCTACAACTTGAATTGTAATGTATTTCTGGTCATTTTGAGAATGATGTCAGAATATGTTACCAGAGAACGATGAATCAGTGTTTTTGATGAACAGTTTCATTCTGATTTCCCGGGCTCTGCAGGTGCGATCAAGAGCCAGGAATCCAGGCCAGACGAGGAGCTTCAAAGCCAGAGAGGAGCGTTTTGACCTTCTATCTAACCTTCCTGCAGAACTCACAAGGATTTTATTATGACAACTAATTTGTTTTTGTCGTCTTCAATGAATCTTTTACTCCTGGAATGCAGCGATTGAGCCAGATGGAGGACTGTTGAGGAAAACAAAAGACGTGATGTTCAAGACGTGACTTTCTGGTCAGACGTGATCTGTTCTCTCTGTTCTGCTTATTCAGCTGTTCCCTCTGATGTCACTTCCTCTGCACTCTGTTTGAGTTCACTTATTTCCTTAAGGTGTATGCATGTGCATATGTGCTACTAAATTAAATGCTGTGCCAATATCTTACTATCCCTGTCATATCATATAAGCAGTATTACAGCCCTGAATCGTCCAGCCCTAATGTGCCAAAATGGGTTCAGAGCGACAGAAAATAGCCTCATGTCATTCCAAACACGTAATCTTGTCTTTTCCGATTAATAGTGACTACAGCTGTCAGCCTTCCTCTGTAAAAGACAAAACAGCTTCACTGAAGCACTCAAATGTTATTCTCCATGGCTTAAATGCCATCAAATCTGAACACAAATAAGATTTTAGACCTTTGGGGAAGTACATTATTAAAAATAAATGTTCTGTATTGGCATCTATGGTTCCATAAAGAACCATTAACATCCATGGAATCTTTCCATTCCACAAAAGGTTCTTTAGATTATTAAAATGTTCTTCGCACACTCTTAAAAATAAAGTTTCCAAAAGGGGGTTTCACAGTGATGCCATAGAAGAATCATTTTGGGTTCCTCAAAGAACCTTTCAGTGAGCAGTTCTTAAAAGAACTATTTTTTCTTTGTGTAAAGAACATTTGAAAAATATAAAGAACCTTTCCATGGATTTTAAAGGTTCTTCATGGAACCATTAATGTCAATAAAGATCCTTTATTTTTAAGAGTGTGCTAAAAAAAAACTTTTTTTTTTTTTTAAGAACTGTTCACTGAAAGGTTCTTTTTGGAGCCAAAAATGGTTCTTCTACACTTATTAAAGCTTCCAAAAGGGGGCGTTTGCAATGTTGCCACTTTTTGTGTGTGTGTGTTGTAAGGCCGGGACACACCAAGCCGACAGTCGGGCTAGTTTGTTTGGTGTGTTCCACTCGTCGGGCTCACGTCGGCGGTAGTTTGCCCAATTCAACATGTTGAATCGGCGTCGGGACCGTCGGCGCGAGTGAGAACTCTGATTGGATGTTCAGTTTAGCGAACGAGTCAGTGCCCGAGAATTAAAGTGAAAGTGATGAAAACAAGCACGTAAATGAAGGCGGTAAAGACAGAAGTCTGTTGAAATGTTACGTGATCTTTCCCAATCATTCTAATACGCGAATGTTTTCATAACAACATGAGCCGCTTAAAATGATTAAAGTTATCAACGTTACTTCGGTTTATTTTGAACACTGGCACGCGAACGGACTTCCATTGTTTACGCGGTACCTGCGCGCCTTAATTGCGTGCCACCGCACGGCATTTTGGGTAACGTAGTTTAGATTGGTCCATTGACTTGCGTCTTAAAATCTCTTTTTTGGTTTCGCCAAAGAAAAAGGGGCGAGTCAGATCAATATTTATATTTTCCTCCTTTCCCGAAGGCTAAAGAGGTTTAGTTTTAATTATTAAAGACATTCATCCGTGTAATGAGTTCCTCGACACATACTTTACTGAAGCTGAACATTTAGCCTATTGGAACATTTATTTTATTCATGCAAATTTTCAAAAATATATATATAAAAAAAAATATGTTTGTTTTTCCCCCCAATCTGAATTTGGATATTGAGTTTTTGCTTAATATGTTTGGCCAAATATTTTATACACAAGTTCTGATGTTTTTAAGATTTCTCCTTCTTATTCAAATCTTTAAATCTCACGGATAACAAAAAAGTTCTTTAGTTGTGTAAACTTTTAGAGATATATTCTGTTATTTAAACCCCTTTTCTTTTGTCTTTTTATTGTTAATTTTTTTAATTATTTTTTATGTTTTTGCTGTGACTTAAATATGTTGGAATTGCATATTTAATATTAATATACATAATACATACATACATACATAATATTTAATTGAAATAATTTAGAAAACATATTTTCATAATTGATTTTACAAAAATTAAACTTTCTTAAGTCAAGATAATTCTCTCTCTCACTCACACACACACACACACACAAACTTAGTAATGTTAATGAAAAAATAATGTGTAACCAATAAAGGGGTTAGAATACAATCAAATTCAATCTGAATAATCTGAAATAAATAAGTAAATAAATGTAGATTTTTTTTTTTTTTTTTTACCGAAAACAGTAATTGGATATGTAAATTCAAATACGCTAATACATTGCCACTATATATTTAACAACTGAAGAAAACCACCTTTATGCTTCCATAAGGAAGAGGATGGAAAATATCATATGAATCAATAAAAAATGAAAAATACTTTTGGTCAAAAAAAGTACAAAAAAAAAAAAAGTATGATACGACCCCTTTAAAGGGGTCATAGGATGCTACATGCACTTTTACAAGTTGTTTGAACTGAAATGT